GGATTCATTTCATCAGCTTGGGAGCGAACCTGTGTTTTCCGTATAGCCACCACTCATTTACTTATGAAACGGAGTCATGTAGCCAAACAGACAGACGGTGTAGTGTGTGACCTTTGTGTGTTTGAGGTTGTTGTTTGCGTTGAAGGGAGGGGTCCGGCCCAGCGAACGACTTAGCTAATGCTTTGGGTATTTCGGCATGCCACGGCTTGCTTGTTCTCCCGCTTATACACACACAGCATCCAATCACTCATGTCTGACAGGTGTGTGTTGGCCTCCTGGATCTGTGTGTGTGTTTGTGAGGAGTATAGTATGTCTGTGTGTGACGGGTTTATATTAGAAGGGCAATGCTGCCTTGTGCATTCTCTTAAGGAGGCTTTTTTTATTATTATCACTGAAGGATTCAATTAATCTGGGCAAGGAAGGGTCCGACCTGCATCTTCCAACACACGCAGGACTGCGCTTTGAATGCATATAAGCGGAGAGTTGTCACATTAATTCAAACAGGAAGGTGAAATAGGAGCACAGTGAAAGACAAACTAGTTCAGATTTCCCTGGTCTGTGCTGCAACCGCCATGAATTACAGCATGCATGTGCCCTTTGTGTTTGTGTGTGAAACAGGCTGAGAGACCAGGAGAAGGGTTACCGCATTTATCTAGCTGTATGAATACTTTGCGGCACAGATAAATCACCTTCTTTTCTTTCTGGAGTCCCAGGGGGAAACCCCCGGCCATGACCGCGGTAAGCAGAATCACATGTCCCCACAAACACAAGGCCTGGTCGCTTTCATCTGCACACAGTCGCTCTCAGACGCACAAACAGCGAGCCTAAAGAGACCAAAACACTGCCTTCATCCTTAGAGACAGCTCCTCTTCCACGTAGGTCTCCAGCAGCTGCTACATGCGTCTTATTTAGAGAAAGGCGATACATCGGACAGCCGATACGTGCACGCGTTGCCCGATTCACTGGAGCATTCAGGAGCAATGCCTTGAGATCAGAAAGCGCATGCAGACACTCCCTCCATTTACTATTCATTGTTGATGTTCTGTTTGATTTGAAAAGAAAAGTTTCTATTTTGTAACATTTGCCATCACTGTGTGATTTTACTCAAATTTCACTCCAAGAATCAGGCCAATGTTAATACAAATCAGCCTTAATGTAAAAAAAAATTCACTTGCATCTGTCCATTTCTTATTTCATTCCCAGTCATGTCCTGATCTTTGAGAAAGAAGTGATTCTACTGCAGCTTAAAACAGAAATACGAAACAGATACAGTTGAGAGAAATTATCTACATTAGAAAAACAGCAGCTCTAATTATCATAAATATTTAAACTAACCACCCCCACAGGATGCTTTCAGATTCCTGATGCATGGCGTGCATCAAGAGAGGCACGGCTGCAACACAGAAATAAAACCGTCCCCGGCCAGGTCTCATGTCTGCATTTACGTTGCGGCACGTCTTACCGCTGCGGCTCTCAGCCTCTACGGCGATGGGAACTAGAGGAAGACGACAGATGGCCTCAATCTGGTGACAGAAACACCGGCAGAGCTCCAGTGGAAGGAGGAGTCCTTCTATGTCCATAAACAGTCTATTCCCAGAGTGGAGTAGGAATACAGAAATGTGTTAAATGGAAAATTAAAGTAGATCATAGAGCAAAAGAGAGCAAGACTCTCAACAGATAACAGGAAGGCTGGATGAGTTAAAGCCAGGTCGTATTCTCTTTAGTCTATAATAAAATATGCCGGATTTATAATTTTTAGGGCTGCAACTAACGATTGTTTTGCAAATGGATGAATTTGTCAATTATTTATTCAATTAATCGATTTATAATCAGATAGCCAAAGGTTCCTAATAGAAGACTTTTTACAAAATTAAACCAGAGGAACATAAAACTTTTTCAATTGAGGAGTTCTGGATAGAGCATAGTGACAGACAAAAAACATTTTTTAAATCTTAAATGCAAAATATTTACATTTTTTTCACAATTTTAGTATAATTACTGCTCTAAATGGGTCGCTTTGTCAGTTAAAGGCATGTTTTACAGTCTCTATACTCCAGCTAGTGATTAATAGATTACTAAATGAATTTTTTATGATTAATTAATCATGATTAATCTGATTAATTGTTCCAGCCCTATATTTATTGTTACATGCATATATAGTTTGTTACAGAAAAGGCAGAGTTGGACACATACATATCTGACGAGCATAAACTACACAATTATTCAAGGTCTGAAATCTTAAAAAAAACTGATGTCTGCTAGTCTGTATAAAATAAAATATGAACCCCTCTGTTTGTTCTAGTTTGGATTTTTCATTAATGAAAAACATGAAATTCACACCAAAAGCTCTACTGTATTCAAATGGGATGTGAAGATAAAAGAAATAATCTGAGGAAACATTGTTGGTTTTTTTGTTGAAATCAGGAATTTCTCTCCGGGGGGGGCGGACAGACAAAACAGAAGATGTAAACAGTCAAATCCCTTATTAAGATATCTGTTCTAAAAAAAAAATTATAATAATAATCCAAAAAGGAACAAATTAGCCCCACTTCCAATAACGTGTGTTAACAAGAGCAGCAAAAGGAATCCCTAGACTCGTCTGATTGCACGTCGATCTCTGCAGCAGCATTTCAACTGGCACATTATGCACATTTCCAGTTACTGGGTAATTATTATGTAATAAGCTTACATAGTGTTATTACAAACGTGGGACAGAGAATTCATTCGTTTTTTGGTTTTTTTCTTTTAGTCAATGTAATGTGTGGGGATTTGACAGTGAGCAGCACCATAAAACTAAATGACCCGTGCAGTATGTGTGGACCAAAGACATAGAGGGAGAAGGTCACTGTGTGGGCAGAATTAAAAAAAACTATGTACCAGTAAAAAGGAGTGCTTAAACTAGCAATCCGATCTGGAACGCCGGTTTGGGTCCATTCCATCATGCAGACACCCCCCCCACATCCACCACCACTGGCTGCGCTTCAAGCTTGTTCTGCAAAAGCATGTCTGCACACACACCACAAGCAGTTTTCAGCTCGTTTCAGAGCCACGGGAGAAGAAAATAAAAAGGGCGAACATGGATTCATCGAACTGAAACAGGCTTCTACAGGACAGCGTTTTGTTTTTCTAAATAGACGTGGCATGTGTGTTCCTCTGACGGCAAATATTACATTTTCATGGAGGACTGCAAAGATTCATTGGTGGAAACTGCAAAACGCCCCACTCTGGTTCTCCTCTTTGCAACAATGCGGCCATCAATCATCGTAACACCCCTCAGTGTGAGATGATTTCATCTCTGACACCTTTTTGTTGTTTGTGTGTGAGTCGAGTGTGTGGGCTTTGTCAGGGCGTCTAATTAATGCTTCATCAGAGCCGTGCCCTCCGAGCTCTGCTTGACTTTAGTGGAAGCCTCACTCTCGCTCCACAGTCATCGTATTCCGGGAGAAAACAGTTCAAGCGAAGGATGCACAACTCTGGAAAAAAATGTAACTAAGATCTAGATCAGTGGATCTAAATCAGATCTGATAAAAACAAAACCTGGTGTTCTCACACTCTGATCTTAATGTCCTAACTGTGATTTCAAATGACTGTAGTTTGGGGTTCATTAAATATTTAGAAAACCAAAGTTTCTTTCGAATTTTCAGAAGCACTGTGACCTAAAATGCTACAATTCGGAGGTCTGATTTATTCAGAAAAGAATTTAAAAATCAATTGCTCCGATCTAGAAACAGAAAAGCAACAATAACTGCTGCTGGACCTCAAACATTTTAACTTATTAAATGTTACTTAAAAATACACATTATTTTCTTTACTTTCCAAAAGATGAAAAAGTAGTAGGTTTTTTGACGTAGATGCATTAAATATTACCCCTTGAAATATTTCCAAACTGCTGAATCTGTCCTCTGAGCAATAAGCATAGTAGAGGTTTTTCAGCCAGCTGACCAGCAGTGCAGTAGGGGAAGAGATATGGAGGAGATACAAGAGCTTTATTAAACCCTGATAATGCATTTAAAGCACATGTTGCAGGTTGATGCATTAATGGCATGAAAGCAGTTAAAGTTTTCAGCTTTGCTCACTCTGATATTAAACTTAAGGGGAAAAGAACAGACAACAATAACATAAACGTGTATAAACTGCCACTTATGATCTCTGCTGAATGGTGCATTTCTTGTTAGTCTCTTATGACTTACAATTTTGGCTGTTTTGCAAACCCAAACCCAAAGTTCAAACCCAAACCCAAGTCTCCTTCCTGTTTGGGAATAGCTTTATGACTCAGGACTTTTTTTTCCTTTTCTTTTTTCTTTTCCCAAAAGCTGTCCCTTCAATCTGCCTAACATATATTTACTCTACTGTAACCCTCACTTTCATTATGCATTCACAAAACTGCGCAAACATGCAGTCCCTTTATGCTCTCTTCCTTCAAACGGCACCCAGCACTGATATCAGGAATAGAAATGACAGCTCTGGTTAGTGAAAGTCAGAGAAGAAAATCACCAGAGAAACATCAACAGGATTTGATTTACAGTCAACAACACAGTATCCCTACTCTTTCTTCAAAGATTCCTCTGGGATTTTGAATCAGCACAAGGAAAAAGAAGAAAAAAAAGCATAAGAACAATCATTCCTCCCTTCACACAAACACTCAGGCCATTTCAGTCAGCAGTGCTCCATCATCCTTCTCTATAAGGTAACACCACTTCACCATTCCCACTCTCTGCAGAGCACTATGCGCAACATCCCTCTCTCTCTGAGCAATAACAGCCTAATGATCCACAGGCAATCAGAAGCCCACCTCACCCGCAGCCAAACCAAAACACTCCTATCTGTGTCTGCAAGGACAGCTGCTCACTGTAGTAATTTTCCGCTGCAGCGGCTGACGATCCTTCACATGGTCTGTTTACATCCAAACTTGCCACAGTTTCATCAGCCTTCATCCTAACTCACTGTTTATATTGATGACTGTTTTTTTTTTAAGATTTCGCTTTAAATGGAGCACTTACTGTGATGTGGATGTAGGTTAATGGCCGATGGCAGAAATTTGCCGGAGTGCAGAGGGGGCGGATGGCCGGGCGAGGGAGGGAGCCTCCCGGCCGCGGCCACCGCTCTGATCCGGTGAGGCTCCATGGCGAGCCCCGCCAACAGCGGCGGGGGGACGTGGACGGATCGAGGCGGACCGAAATCTCTGCCATCCATTATCCACAGATGGGAAAGTTGTTACAGAAAAAAATAAAAATACAATGCGTCCGTTCGGATAAATCCCCGGGAGGAAATTAAAAAAAAAGGTAATAGAGCCAATTCTGGCTATAATAGTGTCTTTAGTTTCCCAGGCGATTCGGACTCCTTTTCAGCCATTCTGCTGACCTATAAAACACAACAAGGTAAACATCACTCGATGCAGAACCCTGATTTAGATTCAGGATTTCTCTCCTTTTTCCTGTGAAAAGGCGGCCCATAGCAGCGATGACGCAGTTTAGAAAAACATTTCAAAAACTACATTCACAATAACAGCTGGACCCCAACGCATGACCGAACAAGCTGCCCCGACTGTGCTCTAATTACACATTAGAAAAGCACTTCAACATGTACGTGTAATTTTAACGTTTCGATGGTTTAAACGGTGCTCCACCCCCCCACCGCCGAGCTGAGCATGCCGAGCTGGAGCTCTGCAGGAGCGGCCAGCTGCTCTGCGCTCACCGCGGAGGGAAAAAAAACATCGGATCCCGATAAAGAAACGCAAAACCTTTTATTTACACCAACAAATAAGCTTTTTTACATCGATCCGACTGCTTTAAAGAAATGCACAAGTATCGGGAGAGAGAGAGAGATGAATAAATAAATTAAAAAAACTCCCCATAAATACTGAAGGGCGCTTCAAATATACATTTCAAACGGTTTAAAAATAAATAAGGTTAAAAAAACGCATGCATCTTTAATAGGCCAGGGGTTAGGTGGTGTTTTGTTGCTCGTGGAGGCATGTAGATTTAGTACGATTTGCTTTTATCACTGGAAATGAAATCTAAATATAACATTTATGTTACTTTATTTACACTCTGAAGCAATAAACGGACCCTGATGATGGAGATTTAAAGATGTAAAATGATAGCGAAATTTTTGTAGGATCTGATTTTATTCAAAATTATTTCCATTTATAAATATTTATATTTTTTTGCTTTTAAAATGTTGAAATAAAGCTTTCCGAACACTGTGCCGCAATGTTACCATTTTAATCACCATTAAAAAGTTCAAACGAATAATTATTTGGTAGGTTTTAATTTAAAATGTAACTAAATTCACCTTTAAAGGTTGCAAAATTGCGAAAAATAATATATATTTAGCAGCGACTCGTGATATCCAGGCGGGCGGGATCAGAAGAGCGCCTCGCCGAGACGAAAAAAACATCAAATAAAAGATAAAAAAAGAGAGTAATCTTTATTTTTACGTTTTTAAGGAAACACATAAGGTACAAACTTTGTTTTTAATGTCACTGGAAATGCCTGTGAAGGTGGGTTAGCTCGTTTCCAGCTCCGGGTGGATGAACTGCGGCGGCGGCGGCGGCGGCGAAGGCAGCGGCAGCGGGCGGAGGAGCTCTGCGTTTCAGCCACGTTTCAAACTTTTCACGCTTCCATTAAACACGCAGGGAAACTTCCAGGGAGGTGCCGTCTTCAAAGGAGGAGACGGGGGGAGAAAACACTTCGAGCGCAATAACAACACCACCCTTCCTCCGCGCCTTTTTAATTAAAAAACAACGGTTTTAAAACGTTTTTTTCCCAAAGGAAGAAAAAGCAGAAAAAACTAAAAACAAACTTTAAAAAAAAAAAGACAGCGCGAGCGCTTATATCGGTGTGGACGATTAAAGGGGAAGAGAGGTGAATAAAAAGCAAACCTTTCTCAAAATTCATCCAGGCTGCTGGAAAAACTGGAGTAGTCCATTACAAGCTGGTCCGAAGGTAAACTGGGGGGGAGAGAAAGCCCCTGACGCGTCCTCCTCAGCAATGAAACACAGCATTGTTTTTACAAGCCCCGCCCACCTCCTTCACCGCCGCGCAGCCCTCTACGTTTCTAAAAGCTGCCTTCTCATTGGCCGCAGTGGATGTCAATCAATGTCCCTGGTGCATTAAAAAAAAAAAGCACCCTTGCTGTTCGCCAGCTCTATAAAACCAATTATGGAGCAAGGAGGCAGTGCAGTTTCAAGGTCCCCTCTCCCTTCAAGACTGAGCGACCAAAACAAGGAGAGGGTCTTTACGGGGGGGGGGAGCTTTACAGTGGGGCTCAGTTCTCATCTTAGGAGAATGAATAATTAATGATTAACCTGATTAATGCATGACTTTCTTTGCTTTTCATTTCCCTTTTAGACAAAAACTTTTCACGCGTCCGGAACAGTCCTGACATTCAATAGCAATAACCACACCTTGGACATTCTGCTGCCCCCTCCCCTCAGTTCATTGGAATACATTTTTTGTGTTACAGTTAAAACCCAGAAAATAATTGTGCAAACAAACATTTGTAAACTCATAATATTTGAAATATCATGCAAAACATATAGTTTAAATAGTTTTGCAAGAGATTTGAAATATTCTGAGTTCACATATGTTTGCTATGCACAACTTCTGACTAATATGTACACAACTGTGCTTTTATGTACAACTTTATTTTGATAGTGATATTACCCCATAGTATTGACTGAGTTATATTTAGTGTACAATTTACAGAGCTTTAAGTATATTTTATGTACCTTTATGGTTGATTGAACAGTTTTTGGCAGCTCCCTTGCCTTATTTTGAAGTTCTGGCCACAGGAAACCAGTCAGCACAAATTAAAATATTACCACACTGTGACAAATTTTAGATCAAAAGAATTACATGTGGGGAAAAAATCGATTTCTAAAATATGACTGACAAAAAATATATATTTTATGTAAAATCACTGCTTGACATAATTGATCGCCTGCTTCCTTTATCATAAATCAGTTGTATATAATGTAAATAAGTGACTACATCGGTAGTATTAGAATACTGCACCAATTCCAAAGAATTAACTTGTAACTTGTTTACACGCTGATCTGTTACCATAGCAACATGATCTGAGAGCTCAAAAACAACTACTGGGCTGGATCCTGCAGTTGGCATATTAGCAAATCTTTGCCATCACAGTCCCAAACAAATTACTCACTGATTGTGAAGCACAGGAGAGAAGGCTCTCTGAGAAACACTTATTTTCAGCATTTATGTGTCCACAGTAGGTTGGCTTGGAATTTTTCAGTTTGTCCAAGCTAACTTTAGCCCCTGGAACTTGAGCTGTTAGCTTGCAGTTACTTTAAGCTAACTTTAGCCCTTAGCCTGCAGTTACATTATGCTAACTTTAGCTGTTAGCTTGCAGTTGCATTAAGCTAACTTTAGCCCTTAGCCTGCAGTTACATTATGCTAACTTTAGCTGTTAGCTTGCAGTTGCATTAAGCTAACTTTAGCCCTTGGCCTGCAGTTACATTAAGCTAACTTTATGTCACCTTGCAGTTACATTAAGTTTATCTTTTAGCCTGCAGTTTGATTAAGCTAACATTATCTGTTAGTTTGACATTACATTTAAACTAACTTCAGCTTTTAACTTGCAGTTATAATAAGCTAATTTTGGCCCTTAGCATGCAGTTACATTGAGCTAACTGTAGCTTTAGATGGGGCTATATTAAGCTTACTTAAGCCATTAGCTTCGAGTAAATTAGCCATTAGCCTGTTTAGTGATCTTAGCTTCATGTGGTATCGTAATTATGGTAGACACCAAAAGCAGACGTGAAAATTTCGAAAACACCCACTCATGTCATAATTTCCACTTGAAAGCTGTAAAATACTATGATACCTGAGTTGCCGAAATGATTCTGTATGGTGAATACTGCATCATTAGGCTTTCTCTCCTGTAGAGTTTATAGCCTACACAATACCGAGACATACATTTAAAATATATATATATAAATATATATATATTTATATATATATTTTTATCACCATTTACACTCGTCATTTTGAAATGCCTGTTATTGTTTGATTTCATCAGATGCTCTCTAGCATTCGGTCCATGCATTTGATGCATCCTCTTCTTCTAGGAAGAGGATGCATCAAACTAGAAAGTCTAACTGTTTTGGTCAGAATAATCTTGTATCCAACATGTTTCTGTTCTCTACCACAACAAAAGCAGTTGCTGATAATGTGCTGATAATTTCTACTTTACAAGTGTTAAGGATCATCTTTACCACACCACATGGAGGCAGCATCAGTACCTGGAGGAAGTCCCCCTACTACTGTCTTAAACTGTCTTCATCTTACCCTGAAACATAAGGAATCGGTTAAGGAAAGTGAATCTATTCAGATAACTCATACACATTATTTGTTCTTTTGAACAGCTCTTTTATTAAAAATGTTTTGCTAAGTTGCACCCCCTTACTGACAGCACAACGAAAAAGTCTCAGAAGATGATCGGTGGAATTGAGAAGAAACTTTAATAGTGGAGGCTTCTCTCTGGTTCCCTGAACTTGTCTCTCAGGGTGGAATAAAGCCTGGCTTTGAGTATGCAAATGCAAAAAGAAGAAAAAAATACCCTGCAAGCTGTAGATGACACAAGGCTGGGCACCTCCAGCCCCGGGTCCAAGTCCTGAGGGGGAACAAACACACGGACATTTGCATAAGAAGAGGAGTAAAACTGCTGTAGCCTACTCATTTAAAAGCATTATGTTAAAATTCATGGTTGGGTAGAAAGGAGGGAGGGAACATTTGGGTGTAGGACTGGGGGTCCTAAATTCCCCCTACATGACCTCACTGTTGACTGCATGGTCAGAGGAGTTTTTATAATCCATCAGAACTTCACCACACCACATTACATTCTTACAAAATGCAGATTAAAAAAATTTGAGGCTGTTTCAAGCCGCCCCCTCCTTTGCAGGTCCCTCCTTATGCAGCCTGCCTGTTTCAAGGCGACCCCCTGATAGAAGACAGGAGGTGCTTTAGCAGAGCACAGCAGATCAGTGAAGTAGCACTGCAGGACGGTACTGCTGCAAACGCACTGCAAAAACAAACAAAAAATAATTCACTATATGCAAAGATCAGAGCGGAGCACCGATACAAGCTCCGATGATTGGTCGCTTGACCTGTCTGCCGCCCCTCTCACCCCTGATGGGACCAGAGGAGGGAATTACCAGGCGGAGATCAGAGTGATGTCCCCGGCTGGTGCCAAAGAGAGGGGGGTCAAGCTGGCCTTTTGTCCCCTAAATCGTTTGGACTGAGAATTCAAACAATGCCTTCAAATTAGTGCCCCATTGTTGGTCTCTTTCCTCCCTATTTGATAGATGGGGGAGCTTTCACCCCTTTTGTTTTCTGTTAATGTTTTTTTTTCTTGTCATGTGAAACATGCAGCGTTCATTTGAGGTTGCAGATTGAAATATGCCATCTTTAAAAGCGTTTCATTAACCTTTATAATTCCATAAAGCCCTGCAGAAGATAGTGAGGGGGGTACAGGTTTCTACAGGTCCATCGCAATACATTTAAATATCTAAAAATCATTTAGATACTTCAATTAAAATATACATACCTATTAAAACAAATCATTGACAGGTTTTGAGCTAACAAAACTCCAAATTCAGTTTTTGATAAAATAAGATAAGGGTAGAAAAAAAACACTTAAATATAAAATGTTGTGCTTACATCATGACCTACACATGTGGTGGTCAGCAGACTTCATCTTTAATGTCAAGCAGACAGTCGTTGACATTCTCTGCATGAACTGTAAGCCACAAAAGGTCACTGCTGAAGAAGCTAAGGAAGTAGTAGTCTGTATGAAAGCCATATTATTGGAAAGTTGAGTGGGTGGAAAAACTGTGATGGATAAGCTATAAAACCATGGGGGATCATGAATTAAACCTCCCAACAATATGTTTAAAATCTTTATTATTATTATTTTTACTTTTTACTGGTTTTTATTTTTAATGTCTGTAATTTGTAAACCATAAGCAACAAATACATTGAAAATATATCACTCTACTTTACACATTTCCACTTTATGTGGCATTTTTAATGACATTCTAGTTTATGCGCTGAATGATTTACCAATAAATGGTAATGGTGTTTTTAAATGTTAAATTTTAATATATTGTTTTCTTATAATAAAAATCTCAGATTATTACTGGTTTAGCAGAGGGTTAGATTAAATAAATAGATTGCATGTCTGTGTTGGATTCTTGATAATTTAATGGAGCTTAAAACCAGCAGGGCTACAATCAACATTTAACTGGTACTCACAAAAACAAAAAAATAAGAAGACCACCCCAAAAATAATTTTTTTTAATCTGACTTTTGCTACAACTTTTAAGCTGCTTGGTCTACCTAACCCTGGGCTGGACCTGTTGACCTAATTAGTTTACATCTGAGTCATAATCTCACTCATCTATAATTCAGAGTTTGCATCGACAATCTCTCAGAGCAGATTATCTGAATCAGAATACATGAATGTATAAATATGATATATCAGGAAACCAGAGCTTTCTATTCCTACATCCTGCCCAAATATATTTTTCTTTCATTTTTTACTCTGCACTGTTTAATATTCTAAAAAAAAAAACAGGTCGCCTTTTGTGTTAGGCTACTTACAATAAAAGGACAATAAACTGATTTGATTTGAATGTGTCATTATGATAATCTAATAAAAAAATGCTTATCAGTCCATGTCTCCAGGAACCATTGACTGTAAAGTCATTTCATTGAAGCTCGTGAAATGTAATTTCAGTCATTGGGTCGCTCAGGATGAGGGAGTAAAGTACAAAGCAAGGGTTTATCGCTCGGCATGGAGACAATAAAAGTGCAGGATAAACTCACAGACAAATCTCCCCCTGGTTTATAACCAGTCACATGGCGTTACAGTAGGCTATGTTTTCTTTCATTTATACACAAGGTTGCTCGCAGTTTAACCACATGAGCGGATCCTATGACAGACCATCAGTTTTAGACCCACAGCGCTGCTGAGGCAATC